ATGATCATACAGTAATATACACGCGATTTAAGCCATGTGACCACGAACGCGCGTCCTCGCGCGCGCGTGACGGTCGATGGGTCCAAATATAGGCGTATATCGCGTCCAATACGGGACGGCGCGCGAGGGCCCACGCGCGCGCGCGCGCGGCGACGGCGACGGCGCGCACACGCGCGCGCGCGGCGACGGCGCGCACGCGCGCACGGGGACGACGCCGACGGGCGCGTCGGGCGCGTCGGGCGCGCGCGCGGGGGGCGCGTGGGTGAACGAAGGGGCGATGCGTGGGAAATGCGTCGACGTCGGCGGTCGATGGACGCTTCGACGCGACGGACGCGTGGGGCGTCGCGCGCGCGCGCCGAGGGACCGCGGCGGGCGATCGCGTGGGCGATGGATGTGCGCGATCAGTGACGCGCGCGAGGAGACGACGGACGGGGACGTCGACGATGGGGTGCCGATGATTGGGTCGAATGCGAGCGAGGCGGCGTCGCGGGCGGTGGAGGACGCGACGGACGGCGAACGGGATGCGTCGACGTCGACGAGCGAATCGAAGCGCGCGTCGAGGAGTGGGATGGGATGGATCGGTTTGGACGTCGATAAGGCGCTCTCGACGTTCGCGAAGGGTGGGAACAAGGGGGCAACGGGGGTGGTGGGAAAACCGACGCTCCCGACGTTCGAGCGGAGAGAGGAGAAGACGCGAGGGATCAAGGCGGCGAAACCAAAGGTGAAGGACGCGGAAAAGCTCAAGCTTGAGTGGGGGGACACGCTCTCTTGGGACAGCACGCGCGTGGACGGGACGGCGCTGAACGGCGAACGCGCGCCGTCTCCCGACGTGTTCGACGCCATCCTCGGGGTCATCGACGTCGAGGAGATGGAGAACTTGGAACGTCAGCAACGTGCGAAGCGGATCGCAAAGCAGCTCGAACGACGTCGAAGAAAGCGTGAGCAAGACGAGGAGAAGAGGAAGCGTAAAGCTCTCGAACAAGCGCGCGCGCAGGCGAGGCGCAAGGGCGACGTCTTCAGGTCGATTGATTTCGAGGATGAACAGGAAACGATTGACAGCGAGGACGAGAGCAAGCCGTTCATCGCCGTCGTCAAGGAGACCGTAGATTCGCTCATGCAGTCCGACGTGGCGAAGTGGACGTTCAACTTTATCGTCATTCCGAGCCTCATCTCCCGAATCGTCGCCTTCACCGTCATCGCCCCCATCGTCGGCGAAGAGCTCAAGCTTCAGGGCCAAGATCGGACAACGATCGAGCTGCGAGAGGATCAAGAGTCGGAAATATTAGCCAAGCTCGATCGTTTCAAACAGCGCATGGACTACGAAGTCGTGATGGGTCGTCAGGCCCCGTTGCCCGCCGTCGAAGTCGAGCGGCGCATCAGAGCAGAGGCGCAACGACTCGAAGACGAGGCCATCAGTCAATATGTCTCGGTGGATGGCAACAGATACGCAGACTTGGTGTTCTTCGCCGCGTTCCTGATCATGATTGTCGCGTATAACGATCAAGCGAGGCTCGTGGTGACGGGCACGAAGAACGCGTTCTTTGGTCTAGAGCCGGCGCAACAGGCGTTCCTGTTGTTACTCTCTTCCGACGTTCTCGTTGGATACCACTCGGCCGATGCGTGGCAAACGCTTCTTCGCGCCATCGGTGGGCATTACGGCTTTGCTGAAGATGAGAACTTGATCTCTCTCTTCGTCGCCTTTGTCCCCGTGTCCGTGGACGTGGCTTTTAAATTCTGGGTGTTCAAGTACCTCCGCCGTTTAGCACCGTCGACGCAGGTCATCCTCGACGACATCGACCGACACTAGCTACAGTGATTGATTGTTTATGAAGAATACAAGAGCGCGCTCCGCTATGACTAGGGATGGGTCGGCAATATCTCTAACGCCACAGCCTTGACTGACTCAAACTTCTCAAACGTAGCGACGCGCTCGAGCGACCCGTCGCGACGTCTCCTGAGTACCTGCCACGGCTCTGGGTACACCCGAAACAGCACCGCGGGATTCGATCCCTTGAAGTTATAAATGACGTACACGCCCTCAAATTTTCTCGCGAACTCTCTCAAGGGCCCCATCTCTCCCGCGTTCCAAAACGGCGGATAATAATTCGATCGCGTGCGCTCCATCTCCCCGTTGCACACGACGAGCGGCCGTCCCGAACCTCGAACCGCATCCTCGTACAAATCCCTCGTATTCGCCAGCTCACTAATGTTCGCGCTCGGGTACGCGACGACGAACGCGGCGTCGTCCGCGCCCATGCGTTCGGCGATCGACTTCTTCGTCCCCAAAATCTTATCCAATCCCGAGACGGACATGAAACTCGGATCATCGAGGTAATCCACCCGCCCGACCCAATCTCCAAACATCGCCCGCGTCTCGCTCTGCTCGGGCGCTCGAATCCCATCCGGCGTCGGCGACGACCCCGTGAGCGCCAATCGCGTCTCCGTCGGATCCGGAAACAAAACTCTCGTCTTCTCCGCCATCCCGAGCTCCCTGAACCCATCACAGATCCCCCTGAGGCGTTCGGTCGTGAGATTACACTCGACGTTCCCCTCTAAATCCCCAGACGCGAGCTCGAGTCCACCCGGGGGAAATTGCAATTCGATGAGCTCCGTCCCGTCCACGATCGCCCGTTTCATCGCCTCCTTACACTGTCGAACCATGGATTCGTACGCGTCCGGGAACGTCGTCAATCGTCCCACCCCCGCGCGCGCGCGTCCCGTCGCGCGCGTCCCGCGCGTCGACGCGCGCGGCGTCCATCCCACCCATCGCGCGCGCATCGCCCGACAGTGTCGTCCCTCCACCGGTGGCGACCACCGGTCGACGCCACATCGATCGGTGGCGAGCACCGGTCGACGCCACATCGATCGGTCGATTCCAAAGGTCACGCCCCCCGATCGATCGCGACGTCTCGACCCTCGACGCCACCGGTGGCGAGCACCGGTCGACGCCACATCGATCGGTGGCGAGCACCGGTCGACGTCGTCGATTCCAAAGGTCACGCCCCGATC